TCTTCAGCTCAAGGCTAGCACTCTACCACAGCACCATGGCTTTCTGGTGATTTATTGGAGATAAAGAGTCTCGCAGACTTTCCTGCATAGGGTAGCTTTGAACCATGATCCTCAGATCTCAGCCTCCTGAATAGCTAGGATTACAGGTATAAGCCACCGACGCCGGGCCATTATACACTTTTATGTATTGAAATAAAGAGTGTCTTACTTTCAGTCTCTTTAGTGACACAAGATTGGCCTAAGTGGAAACAGGAATTCAGTTCTCATCCCATCCCCTCATCTGTGAAAACTTGTAGAGTTCCAGCAGTGTTGCAATCTGAACAGAAGTTGACCAAGATGTTCCAGTTAGTGCTACTATAGACTTGCTCTCTCCCCTTCAGGTGTAATTAGGTATTTCCTCCTGCCCTGTGAGCAAAAGGGGAGAACTGTCCCAAGTTCCCCATTGACTGTGCCAGACATTATGGACTCATATCCAGAGAGATACATTTGGTAAGAGATGAAGGTCCCTTGGCTGGGAATGTGGCCTAGTGGTAGTGTACTTGCCTAGCATGCATGAAGCCCCGGGTTTGATTACTCAGTACCACATACACAGAAAAAGCTGGAAGTGGCGCTGTGACTCAGTGATAGAGTGCTAGCTTTGAGCTGAAGGGCTCAGGGACAATGCCCAAGCCTAGAGTTCAAGCTGGACAACTGACAAAAAAGAAGAGAGAGAAAAGGGTTTCTGTTGATCTCTTCAATGGCAAAAATGAAGGCCAGAATATACTGATAGTTATTGGTTTTTAACCTGCATAGATAGCAAATAAAGTCTTAGAAAAGTTACAAAATTCCTAAGTACCTTAAAAATCTTTTGAGGCTGGGTGCTAGTGGCTCATGCTTGTTAATTTGAGCATCTCAGGAAAATAGCAGTTTGAAGCCACACTGGGTGAGAAAGTCTGTGAGACTCTTATCTCCAATTAATCACCAAAATGCAAATGATAGAGTGTTAGTCCTAAGTTTAAGATCTCAGGGACAGTGCAAAGGCTCTGAGTTCAAGCCCCAGGACTGGCGCACACACACACGAACACAAATCCCTTGAAACCTATGAATGCTTATGTTCACACCGCATTTTGATATTTAAAACCATATAATTTGGTGTGGTAGCTTCAAATCATTTGAAGGAGATAATTAGTATGGGAATAGGTTACAGTGGTAGATTTCTCATTAATTAGGTTAGTGTATTCATTAGAGAGCAGAGAGTGCTTACATTGAAGAGCTAAAGTAACTCCATTTTAAAATCAAACCCCCTGAGCTGTGCTGCCCTCAGAGTAACCCCTAAAGAGAAAAATAGTTCTCAGAGAAACCTCAGGTTGCCACCAACCCTGCCCACCCTTAAGAAACAGAACAGTTGCCTAAGTATTCCCTCAGAAAAGGGGAAGTGCGGTCAGGGTGGACTTAAACCCCCTGAACTTGTAAAGTTGCTTGTGTAAAAACCCCCTGAACTTGTGAACTTGTTTAATACTATAAAAACTGTGCTGATTTTGTGCTCAGGGCCCCTTAGCGTCACTGGTTACCGAGTGCGTGGAGGACCAAGCTCAAGCTTGCAATAAACGACTCTTTGCTGTTTGTATTGATGGTGGTCTCTGGTGGTCTGTGAGGGGACATCCAAAAACTGGGTACTTCAACATCATCTTTTTGACAGGTGAGAACAAATATACATGACTATCATTTCTAAAGAATGAAACAGGTGTTCTTTTAATCTTTTTAGTCTTCTTAACTGTAGCCAGGTTGTGATACATTTTATTTTATTTTTATGTCTTATCCATAGCTAAGACCATATAAAGGAAATAACCCAGTCAATGTGGTCCATCTTTTTTTGTTTTTGTTTTTGGTCGTGGAGCTTGAACTCTGGGCCTGGGCGCTGTCCCTCAGCTCTTCAGCTCAAGGCTAGCGCTCTACCACTTGAGCCACAGCACCACTTCTGGCTTTTTTTTTTGTCGGTCATGGGGCTTGCATTTGGGTACTATCCCTGTGCTCTGCAGCTCAGGCGAGCACTCTACCACTTGAGCCACAGTGCCACTTCCAGTTTTCTAGTGGTTTATTGGAGATAAGAGTATCACGGACTTTCCTGTCTGGGCTGGCTTTGAACGGTGATCCTCAGATCTCAGCCTCCTGAGTAGCTAGGGTTACAAGCGTGAGCCACTGGCACCCGGCTCCACTTCTGGCTTTTTCTGTCTATGTGGTGCTGAAGAATTGAACCCTGGGCTGAAAATTCATGCATGCAAGACAAGCACTCTAGTGAGCCACCTTCCCAGCCCCAGTGTGGTCCATCTTTGAAAGTGGTAGCTTCTGCTAAGTGCTAGAATTAATATGTATAGCAAATAATATGAAAGAGTCGAGTAAGAATGTAGACTAGTAAACTTAGTTCCCAGATTAAAAAAAACGTAGAATGGCAAATTGGTTTAAAAAAAAAAAGACCCAAACACCTGTTGTTTTCAAGAAACACACCTGTCTGACAAGCAAACAAACCGATTAGGATGAAAGATTGAGGGCTGGGAAGGTGGCTCAGTGGTAGCATGCTTGCCTTGCATGCCTGAGGCCCTGGGTTCGATTCCTCAGCACCATATAAGCAAAAAGAAAAAAAGCGGGGGCTGGGAAGGTGGCTCAGTGGTAGAGCGCTTGCCTTGCATGCTCGAGGCCCTGGGTTCGATTCCTCAGCACCACATAAGCAAAAAGAAAAAAGCCGGAAGTCGCACTGTGGCTCAAGTGGTAGAGCGCTAGCCTTGAGCTGAAGAGCTGAGTGACAGCGCCCAGGCCCAGAGTTCAGGCCCCACGACCGGTCCCAAAAAAAAAAAAAAAAAAAAAGAAAAGAAAAAAAGCGGAAATGGCGCTGTGGCTCAAGTGGTAGAGCGCTAGCCTTGAGCTGAAGAGCTGAGGGACAGCGTTCAGGCCCCATGACCGGACCAAAAAAAGAAAGATTGAAAAAGTATATATCAAGGAAATGGACCCCTAAAACAAGGCAAGAGTACTTATCCTTATATGTGATAATATAGATTTCAAAGTAAAATTAGTCAGAAAAGACAAGGTCACTTCATATTGATAAAAGGAACTTTACATCAGGAAGACTTAACAGTCCTAACTACACTATTTATGCACTGTGTCTTAATGTGAACAAACACTATTGGACTTATAAACAAAGACTCCAACACAATGAAAGTAGAAGACTGAACCACCCCACTTTCACCATTACATAGGATATCCAGAAAAAAAAAAACAACACAATACAAAAAAAACCAAACCAACAAATTGTAGAAACAACCAAACCAACAAAACGTCCTTGAAATTTCATAGATGGAAATCTGGAGTAGCTGGGAACATAGTTACAGAACTTTAAGGATGTAAATTGGCTCAAGAATCAAGCAGTGCAACTACCATACAATCCTGCTATTTTATTCCAGTGTATACATTAGAGCAGTATTTTCCTTTGAGGGATGTAATCCACTAATCTGTTTAGTAGCTGAGAATTGCCACGCCTACTCCGGTGGAGTCTGCTTAGCATGGAAAACCTGCTTTCAGACCAGAGAATGGGGCTTCACAGAGACCTATCTCTGAGAATGGGACTTCACCGAAGTCTACCTCAGAGAATGGGGTTTCAAAGAGGCCTACCTCCTGGAAAGGCTGGCAAGCCCCTGGGAAAGATGTGTTTCTGTTCCTGTTTTTCTTTTCTTCACTGTATAGGAGTGCCTATTAATCTTTTACTGTTCCTGCTGCTTATTGTACTTACTCATGCTCAACGTTCCCTTATTCAAGGCTCTTTCTTAAGTGTGTTGACGACTCCAACATCTGATGAGTGTCTTAAAAATATGACTAACTCACCAGAGTTAAGTGCTACCCTGAAAGCCCCTCTTATTGAGGCTAGTAGACAAGTCATAAGTAAATATAAAAGTATTGGGGGTTTCATGACGTCACTTCAGCAGAAGGAATTGTTTGTAAGAGATTTACAAGAAGCTGTAGGCACGGCTAGAGCAGAAAGAGTGTATGGTAATTGCTGGGAAAACTACTTAGGAGAAAGAACTTCCTGTTACTCTCTTTCATTTACTAAGAGACTTGCTAGATCTAGGCCTCCTTGGTGCTTACTATTAAAGAAGGAACAGGAAAGACCTTATGGGACAGTTAAGGCCTCTATAGAAAAAAGTAATGGTTAATTGGTAATAAACATTGAAACCCATTGTATTTCTTAAAAATAGAGGTAAAGCCGAAAACAAGTGTCTATCAGGCGACCAGCTGGTGACCACCCAAGAACGAAGCCCTGCCGCAAGATTGTGTAACCTTTTGCCCTTTCTCATGGAGACTTTTGCTATAAAAGTTTGTTATCCTTTGCATTAAATCGCACTCAGCATCCACTCCTCTTGTGTGTGAGTTGTCTGTTTGCCATCTCCTCACCTATTCCAGTTCCTCCACTAGGTGTCCTCCGTTGTCCCGACAGAGCCGGTCCGCCGCAGAGAATAGTTCTTTTTTTTTTTTTTTTTAAGAAGGAAGTTACTAGCCAGGCACCGGTGGCTCACCCCTGTAATCCTAGCTACCCAGAAGGCTGAGATCTGAGGATCGTGTTTAAAAAAAAGACGTGGACCGATGGGCTCCATTACACTGTTAGAATTTAAAAACAAGATTATCTACTGTTTTGTTCCTATTAACATTTTTTTGATTGTTCTCACAATACTCCTAGAAGTAACCCAGGATTTCCAAGACGTAGGACTCCTTACTTCCCGGAGAGGGGGGGGGAAAAAGGTCCCCAAGCAGCCGCAACCGACCTAGGTTATCTATCCGGCGGCCAGTTGGACCCCAGACCCCTGAAGCAAGCCCATTTTCCTCTCGGAGGACGCAGCGACTTCTGGGAAATGTAGTCTTCCGGAACAAAAACCTTCGGATGGACTCTTCCGGGTCCGCACGCAGCGCGCCTTCCCGCCTATTCCTGGAGTTTTCCCGCCAGGAATCACACTGGTTCCTGGGGCTTTGACACGCTGCTGGAAGGTAGCTGAGAGTTTTTTGTCCTGCAGTTGGCGATGAGGGTGACACCCCCCTGCTTCTGCTCGGTGTACCTTGGGAGCTAAAATGTAAGTGGATCACAGGCTTGGGAACCGGTGGGCGGGTGCGAACTGAGACATGGGCGAGGGCACAGGTGCTTGCGCTTTGTGGGTTCCTCTGGTCTGGGGTATTGGGGCTGAGGTTCCTGATTTCTCAGAGTTGATGCTACCAGAAGCCAACATGCCTCCACGTGCAACTCCCAGGCTCTGCCACCAGAAGTCAGTGTGCCTCCACGTGCAACACATTGGTTCCAGAAGCTCCACAGGTGGGCTGGGTGATTCTCCAGACTAGGAGATACGAGAGCCAAGGAGGCATGAGGTTTATATGCCACGACGGAGAGATTGTCCTGTTAACTAACCTACGTGACACCACTCACTTTGCCCGACTGTAAGATTAAGTACAGTGACATCTCTAGTGAAATTAAAGTCTGACAGAAGAAGGTTCTGGGAAGATAAATCTTAGTTCTCTAGACTTTCAGATTAGAGTTACTGAGGGGAACTTGTGTAAAAACCCAGTTTTAGATATAGCTTTAAAAAGCCATCTTAGACTCGCAGCCCTTTCCCCAAATTAGAAGATGTAGCACTTGGTAACTCCCACCCCTGGCCCTTGAAACTGCAAGTACCTCTATCCTCCAGCGGCATCGTTGGAATGCTGTCCACCTGGGTCTGATAACAACTGTTGACTCCCCTGGGGTTATGTATTATCGTCTCTGATGTCTAGAGGCCGCTGCCAAAGGGCCTCTTGCTCCTAATGGCTCCAGGACGTGACCTCATGAAATTGTTTACGAAAATTGCTTATGAAATTGCTTATAAGGCTAACTGCAAATTTCATTTCCGTGAATCAGCTTGTTGCTTGTGAAACCGTCTCACCACCTGTGTATAGTTTTTTGCTTTATAAATCCTAACTTACTAGGGATCGAGGCTACTCTGTTTTGAGACCCTGGGGTCCAGGACAGGATAGCCCAGGCCGGCTAATAAACTACTTTGTCATCTTTAACCGCGCCTCTGTGCACTACTTGACTCACGGGGTATTTCATTTGTAAGATCAGAGAAGATACAGGAATTTTAGTTAGTAAATTCTTTCTTTGGGAATTGGTGTCAGTGAATCATAAACACTGCTTTACAATACCTTACTTTAAACATGCTGATCTGATTTTTTTTCTTTTTTTGGCGGGGGGGGGGGGGGGGGGGGGGGTGGTCCGGTCGTGGGGCCTGAACTCTGGGCCTGGGCGCTGTCCCCAGCTCTTCAGCTCAAAGCCAGCACTCTACCACTTGAGCCACAGCGCCACTTCCGGCTTTTTTCTTTTGTGGCACTGAGGAATCGAACCCAGGGCCTGGAGCATGCAAGGGAAGTGCTCTACCACTGAGCCACCTTCCCAGCCACTGATCTGATTTTTATCATCATTTCCTGTGGCTTTTGTGACTTCGAAGTATTCCTAACATGGATGTTTTCCACTTTATTAATCTGTTTTAGAAAAATTACAAATTCTGTAATACAATAGCGAACCTATTTTACATTACTTAAAATGGGTAAGACTGCATATACTAATCTAAACAAATTTCAGAAAATATAAATAAAATACAGTATAATATCCCTTTTGAACTATAGATTTTTATTTCTTTTTTAATTTTTAATTTTTATTTATTTATTTTTATATATTTTTATTGTGAAAATACTGTATAGAGGGGTTACAATTACATGGGTAAGATAATGAGCACATTTCTTATCAAGCATTGTAGCCTCCTTCTTTGTTTCCCCTTCCCATCCCTTCATATCCTCCCCACGCCCGTCCCCCCACCAAAGTTGTAAAGTTCGTTTTTCGGCATAAGACTTGTACATCTCATTGTTGCAATGGGTCCTCCTGTTAGATTTTTATTTCTAATAAAAAAAATCTGAGCCCAGGTGCTGGTGGCTGACACTTGTAATCCTAGCTACTCAAGAGGCTGAGATCTGAGGATCACGGTTCAAAGCCAGCCCAGGCAGGAAAGTCCATGAGACTCTTATCTCCAATAAACCACTAGAAAGCCGGAAGTGGTGCTGTGGCTCAAGTGGTAGAGTGCTCGCCTTGAGCTGAAGAGCTCAGGCCCAGAGTTCAAGCCCCACGACCTACAAAAAAAAAAATCTGAAACTAAAGATTTTAGAGTAAGGATGGTCAGCCATTAATCTCTGTGAAGATAGTTAAAATCCCAAACAAAACAATTGCCCTCTTGACGTCTATTCTAAGCATTATGGAGGAGGGACACCCAGACTACAACAAATTTATTTTGTTTTGTTAAGCTAAGAAAACATTCTTTTGATGTTAAAAAACTTAAAACTAATGTGCAAACATTGCTTTTTAATAGTTCATATGGTCTTTACTAGCACCTTCAACCTGTAATCTTGCTGAAGTCCACACAGTTGATGTTCCTGATCATTTTCATTATTTGTACATGTGGCTATAAAGCTCACTTTATTGTATATTAAGAGTTTCTATCCTACATAATTTTGTTACGTAAACATAGAGCAGTAGATTATACCAAAAGCATATTACCATTTTATTTGCTTAAATTTTTTAGACCTACATTTTGGGGTGGGCTCAGCTAGGAATTTTGCATTGATATTATTTCTTTTGTTGTTTTTTGTTGTTTTGTTTTGTTTTGTTTTGTGGCCTTGGCCCTGTCCCACGGCATTTCAGCTCAAGGCTAGTGCTCTACCACTTGAGTCACAGCGCCACTTCTGGTTTTCTGAATGGTTTATTGGAGATAAGAGTCTCAGGGCCTTTCCTGCCTGGGTTGGCTCTGAACCTTGATCTTCAGATGTCAGCCTCTAGAGTAGCTAGGATTACAGGCCTGAGCCTCCAGCACCGGACTTGATATTGTTTAATAACAAATAAGGCTTTAATCATTTGGTTAACTGACAGAGGAGAGTTGGTTTAGGATGGTGTCACTCATAAGACCTAGTATTGGTTTATATTATTCAATTATGATTTAAAGGAATATTTATGTTACTAATTCTGTATGTAATATTAATGGAGAAATGAACTGAGTTTTTAATCTCTACCAACTTATTGACTGTGTGGATTCATCTTCACTGGGGACTCATGTCTCTGATTGAGAGATAAAAGTTCTTGTATAGGAAGACTTTTTTTTTTTTTTTTTTTTGCAGCATAGGTGTAGTTATTTGAGCAGGAACATCTGGAACAAAGCCAGACAGGGTTTTTCCTGACTCCATTTGCCTTCTCTCCCAGAAATAATTCCAGAATCTTCTGTTCATATGTTTTGTTGACCAACAGCAATAGCAAAATGGATGGATCTCTGGTGAGTTGCTTTTTATTTCTCACTTTGTTTCACATTGATTTTATGAACTTAAGAGTGTCCATGAATTAAAATGGAAGTGTCATTCATGGGAAAAGTTGACAGATATTTGCTCAATAATAAAGTTTGATCTCTCAGAAACTTTGCTTCTAGCCAACATGTGTGACAGCATCTTCTTAGTAATCTACTGGGAATAAGTAAGACACATTTGAACAGTAGTTAATGAGATCATATGCAAAGAATAAAAATGAAATGAGCACATTATACTAATTTGTATCTTTGGATATGTATATTTATGGTTGGTGCTATACGTAGTTTGTGTTTCCAGGTAAAACTGATTTAGCATGTTCTCAAACACATTTTTTTATTGCAACAGATTACTTAAAATCAACAAGATAAGCGAGTACATATATCATTTATATTTCTGACAAAACTCACACAATCCACGGTACATTTTTTTTAACCCACAGTACTTTTTTTTTCTTGCTCCATATTCTAGGCTGCACTTGAAGTTGACATGTAGCCTAGGCTGGCTGGTAATCCTGCCTGAGCATAGGTGTGTTCCACCATTAATGATTCTTTGAGTGTGTGAGTGAGTGTGTACCTGGTGGTTGGGGGGCGGGGGGGGGGGGGGGGGGAGGGGAGGGGAGGGAGAGGGAGTGTGTGAATCATGGTCTGGGTGCTATCCCTGAGCTCTTTTTCTCAAAGCTAGTGCTCTACCACTTGAACCACAGTTCTACTTCCAGCTTTTTTGGTGTTTAATTGTATGTAAGTGTCTCACAGACTTATCTGCCCTTTCTGGCTTCTATCACGATCCTAAGTTCTCAGCCTCCTGAATAGTTAGGATTATAGATGTGAGCACCCAGTACCCAGATGACCATTGTTAAATGTATAGTTTACTGATATTACCTATGGTCCAATTGTTGTGTGACCATCTATCCCTTCCATCCATCTACAGCACTTTTTCTTTCATGTATGAAGCTGTATAATCATTAAATATATAGCTCCTATTTCTCTCTATCCGTCTCTGTAACTATCATTTGGCTTTTTGTGTCTATGAGTTTGTTGATCCTCAGCAGATCATACTAGGGTTGAACAGTCCTGGTTTATTTTATGTGACTTTTAAAAAAATTTATCTTATTGTGGGGCTGGGAAGGTGGCTCAGTGGTAGAGTGCTTGCCTTGCATGCATGAAGCCCTGGGTTCAATTCCTTAGCACCACATAAGCAGAAAAAGCCAGAAGTGGTGCTGTGGCTCAAGTGGTAGAGTGCTCACCTTGAGCTGAAGAGCTGAGGGACAGCGCCCAGGCCAAGAGTTCAGGCCCCATGACTGACAAAAAAACAAAATCAAAAAAATAAATTTACCTTATTGTATTCAAGTTTCAAAATGCATTAGAAATGCTTCTATCTTACAGTTATTTTGAGTAGTTGCTATGAAATGATTCTCCAAATACCTGTGCTTATTGCTTTCTCTTCTTCTGGGTACAAACCTAGAAGAACTGCTGAACTATATTCTTGTGAATTCTATATTTACTTCTTTTTAGAATACACAAGGTTTAACTTTTATGCAGTTAAATCTTGTCTACTTTTGAACATGTGCTTTTGGTGTCTTATCCAAGAAGTAATTATTAGATCTAAAGTTATGATGCTTTCCTCCTGCCTCCTCTCTTCCCTGCCTTTCCCTCCCTTTCTCACTCCTTTCTTAAGAAAGGAAACCTTTTCTCATTTTTTCCATTGTTTTAATAGTCCCATTTTGGTGTTTTTTTTTTTTTTTTTTTTTTCCAGTTGTAGGTCTTGAACTCTGGCCCTGGACACTGTCCCTCAGCATTTCAGTTCAAGGCTAGAGCTCTACCACTTGAGCCACAGCGTCACTTCCAGTTTTCTTTTTTTTTTTTTTTTTTGTTGATCGTGGAGCCTGAACTCTGGGCCTGAGCGCAATTCAGCTCAAGGCAAGTGCTCTACCACTTGAGCCACAATGTCACTTCTGGCTTTTTCTGCTTATGTGGTGCTGAGGAATCGAACCCAGGGCCTCTACATGCAAGGCGAGCACTGCCACCTTCCCAGCCCACTTCTGAGTGGTTTATTGGAGATAAGAATCTCACAGACTTTTGTGCTCCTGCTAGCTTTGAACCACGATCCTCAGACCTCAGCCTCCTGAGTAGCTAGGGATTACAGGCATGAGCCTGTAATGAGCTTGGCTAGTCCCATTTTTTTTTACCCTGCCACTTTGCTCCCCTTCCTTACTTTCCCTACCTACTTCCTCCATCTTCTTTTCTCTTTTATTCTGAATTGGGGACTTGCTGTGTTACCCCAGTTGGTCTGTAACTCATAAGCTCAAGTGATAATAGGCCTTCTACCAGGCCTGATTCTTTCTTCTTTCTTGTACTAGTACTGGGGTCACATTTGGTCAGTTTGCTTACTCACTATCTCTTGAGCCATGGTTCTAGCTTATTAGCTGGTTAATTGGAGTAATTTGCCTAGGCTGGTTTCCAGATTTCAGCTACCTCAGCAGCCTAGACTAGGATACCAGTCTGGAGCAACAGTGCTGATATCCTATATTTTTTTCTTATCTGAACATTTAATGTTCATAGTAAGTTGGATACTATAATAAAATAAGATTGTTTTTACTTATGTAGACATTAATATTCAACCTAAACTTAAATAATTAATGTCTCAAATTAAGAGTGTATTTCATCTCTAATAACTTTATAATTAATAGCTTTATTTTTCTTGTTGATTTCCACTTCTTTGTTCAGAGAATATGCATTAAGTTTTGTCTTAAGATTCATTTTTAGTGTCAGTATGTCTGCCTTGGTCAGTGTAACATAGTGTTTAACAAGATATTGTCATCTGTGTGTGTGTGCACATGTGTGTATGTATGTCTATGTGTGTATGAGTGTGTGTTTCTGCTGACTTTTTGTCTGTTTGTTCTATCAGCTATTGATTGTCCACTTGTAAAGGTGGATTTTTAAAAAATCCCATTTTGATTCTGTGGCTTTTTAAAACTTATCTTCGGAGCCTTTGTTTTTAAGCACATAATAACTTGTTTTATCTTGATTTGTCTGTTGCTATCAGTGGTCTCTCTGTGGTCATACAGTTTGTAATGATGTTTATATTTTTCTCATAGCTTTTCACTATAAGTTTCTGTTTATGGTATTTTTGTATTTATTTATTGTGTATTTATGTTTGGAGTATATCTCTTTGGATAGTGTATTACTGGGGGTGTTTTTTGGTGAAGTAAGACAGTATTACGTATTTACTCCATTTATGTTAAAATAGTAATTGGTTTAATTAGTTAATTAATTTTTTTGGTTTAATTTTTGACTGCCATTTTGCTACTTATTTTCTGTTTCTCTCATCTGATTTTTTTTTCTATTTCCTTTATTTGGATTAAACAGATATTTCTACCCTACTCATTTGTAGATATCCACAAGGGATGATTCCAAAACCATTATGGATACCAAAATTTGTAGGTGCTCTAGTTACTCATACAAAATGGTTTTGTTTGGAAATAACCTGCACATATCCTTCTATATACTTTAAATCACCTTGTAATGACCTCTGATACCTACTACAATTTAAATCCTGTGTAAATAGTTCTTATACTGCCTTGTTTAGAGGATATTGTCAGTTGTCTTTTTCTGTAGAGTGGCCATTTAAAAAATTAGTTTGGGCCAGAGCTGATGGCTCATGCCTGAAATCCTAGCTACTCAGGAGGCTGAGAGCTGAGGATCATGGTTCAAAGCCACCCTAGGCAGGAAAGTCCTTGAGACTCTTGTCTCCAGTTAACCACTGGAAAACTGGAAATAGCACTGTGGCTCAAGTGGTAGTGTGCTCCCCTTGAGCTGAAGAGCTGAGGGCAGTGCCCTGGCCCAGAGGTCAAGCCTCACAACTGACAATAAATAAATAAACAAACAGGGGCTGGGAAGGTGGCTCTGTGGTAGAGCGCTTCCCTTGCATGCATGAGGCCCTGGGTTCGATTCCTCAGCACCACATAAGCAAAAAGAAAAAAGCCGGAAGTGGCGCTGTGGCTCCAGTGGTAGAGCGCTAGCCTTGAGCTGAAGAGCTGAGGGACAGCGCCCAGGCCCAGAGTTCAGGCCCCACCACTGGACAAAATAAATAAATAAATAAACAAACAAATAAATAAGTAGTTTGGATTCATGATTGGTTGAATCTGTGAGACTCACAATACACAAGTCCTATTGTATTCCTTTGAAAAGTTATGTATGAGCCCTAATTTACTCGATTAGTCTGACTCTTTTACTCATCAACAATGAACTGAGGATTTTACACATAGACTAATGAATGTTCAGATGGAAACAGCGAGAAGAAGCCAAACCTGTTCTTATGCTTTCATCTCTAGAACTACAAGAAGATATAGTTTCCATCAAGCCTGATTCTTTGTTATGACAGTTGTAGGAAATTACATACTATTAGCAATTCTTTGCGTTATTATTAGGGCACTGTCTTACTGCATAATAAAATATAAGTATCTTTCAATTGAATAATTCCATGTATATTTTTAATCTATTATTTGTTTATGTATGTATTTTTGTGCAATTAGGGCTTTGAATTCAGTGTCACACTCTTGCAAGGCAAATGCATTACTGTTTCATCCCTATCCCTAGTTACATTTTAATACATTTTTTTTTTTTTTTGGTCAGTCGTGGGGCTTGAACTCTGGGCCTGGGCGCTGTCCCTCAGCTCTTCAGCTCAAGACGAGCGCTCTACCACTTGAGCTACAGCGCCACTTCCGGTTTTCTGGTGGTTTATTGGAGATAGGAGTCTCACGGTCTCTCCTGCCGGGGCTGGCTTTGAACCGCGATCCTCAGATCTCAGCCTCCTGAGTAGCTAGGATTACAGGCGTGAGCCACCAGCGCCCGGCTTAATACATTTTTAATAATAATATTTACATGTTGAATCTTTACATTATGAATCATCTATATGGCATTGCAATTTTTGCTTTTAGCTATTATTTTAAATAATATTCTCTTTTTTTTTGTCAATTGTGGGGCCTCAACTCAGGGCCTGGGCACTGTCCCTCAGCTCTTCAGCTCAAGGCTACCGCTCTCCCAGTTGAGCCACAACGCCACTTCTGGCTTTTTCTGCTTATGTGGTGCTGACGAATCAAACCCAGGGCTTCATGCATGCAAGGCAAGCACTCTACCACTGAGCCACTTTCCCAGCCCTTTAACTAATGTTCTATACATTCTTTTTTTTTTTTTGTCAGTCATGTGGCTTGAACTTTGAGTCTGGGCTCTGTCCCTCAGCTCTTCAGCTCAACGCTAGCACTCTACCACTTGAGCCACAGTGCCACTTTCAGTTTTCTGGTGGTTAATTAGAGATAAGAATCTCACAGACTTTCCTTCCCAAGGGTGGCTTTGAACAGTGATCCTCAGATCTCAGCCTCCTGAGTAGCCAGGATTACAGGCGTGAGCTACTAGCCTCTTGCTACATTATTTTATACTTAGCTATACACTATTTTTTTAAATTTTATTTTCTTGTAAAGAGGTTGTACAGAGGTTACAGTTACATCAGAAAGGTAATGAGTACATTTCTTGTTGGGCATTGTTACTCCTCTCGTTTTTCTCCCACTATCCCTTCCCTTTCCTACCTCCCCCACTCCCTGCACACTTAGAATTTCTAAGATCCTGTTTCTATTTGTACCTCTAAGTTTGCATCTTTTGGAAGTGGCACTGTAGCTCAAATGGTAGAGTGCTAGCCTTGAGCTGAATTGCTCAGGGTCAGTGCCCAGGCCTAGAGTTCAAGCCCTAAGACTGCCAAAAAAAAAAAAATCCAATCTAAGTTTGCATCTTTTGCTATTCTCTTGAGGCAGGATAATTTTTTTCTAGCCTCTTAAAATGCAGGTGTGTTGTTAATGAACTCTTTATCTGAAAATACCTTCAATCTACACTATAGAAGAGTTCTCTTGAATCATACATTGTGAATTGAAGGTTATTTTCTTAGGAAACCTGGCATACATAATTCATTTTGTGTCTTGGGGAAGCCAACATTCATCTTTGGTATTGCCAAGCAGGGAGGCGTGGGGTGGGGCGCTTGAACATTATTCATAGTCATAAACTATTCATTAGTCATAAATTTTCCTGTTCCCTCTGAAGACAGATTCATTCATATTCTGTTCAAAGTTTTTAAATTTTCTTCCATGTTTTTTGTATCACTTCCCTGTTCTTTATTATTACTCTTTCTGTGTCCTGCTTGTGGTGGTGACCACATAATTTTCTTATCCTTGACTATCTTTTAAGCCTCTTTTCACTTACCTTTTATCCTTCTATAAGGGAGACTGTTAAAGTACAAGTCTAGTCAAGAAATACTTTATTCCCTGCTGATGTATATTTTGATATATAGGCGGGTGGTAATGTTCACGAAAGTTTATGCTAGCAATTCCTTTGTGTTCAGGGAGACATAAAAGAGTACCTATAAACATACTTTAATTTATAGTAATTTAATGACAAAAATGAGCACAAATACTTTATTGGGGGAACTAAGTTAAGCCTTATAAATGACAATCAGTCTATAGTCAGTTTCTTGATTCCTTTTAACAATCTCCTGTACACTGTGCTTCTTTTTGGATCTGCTCATGTGATATGTATTCCTTACAGTCTCTTGAGTGGGTTCTTGCTGTTTATGAGAACACATTTCTATAAAAGATCTAAATAGACTTTGTAGGAATGCACAATATGAAAGTGATTTATTCTAAATTTACATTACAACAAGCTCAGTACACTTTTGCAGGTATATACCTGTAGTGTTGTTATGCTAGATCATAGCCCCTTAAAAAAATTTTTTTTTTTTTTGTCGGTCATAGGGCTTGAACTCTGGGCCTGGGCGCTGTCCCTCAGCTCTTCAGCTCAAGGCGAACGCTCTACCACTTGAGCTACAGCGCCACTTCCGGTTTTCTGGTGGTTTATTGGAGATAGGAGTCTCACGATCTCTCCTGCCCGGGCTGGCTTTGAACCATGATCCTCAGATCTCAGCCTCCTGAGTAGCTAGGATTACAGGCGTGAGCCACCAGCGCCCGGTGCCCCTTAAAATTTTTTTTATCACATCGCTATCACTAGCACCAGTGACATTTTCTGATCTATTTGAGAAACTTAATATTAGTAATTAACAAGTCAGTATAATAATAACAGGTATTTCTACTTTGATTTGTTTTTCTCTTACTCTGTAGATAACAGAATAAGCTCTAACTATCTTTTTTTTGTAGTTGTTGTTGGCCGTGGGGCTTGAACTCTGGGCCTGGGCGCTGTCCCTCAGCTCTTCAGCTCAAGGCGAGCGCTCTACCACTTGAGCTACAGCGCCACTTCCGAGCTCTAACTATCTTATATAAAACAAAAGCATACATATAGAAAAATGAAATTCCAGACTTGGTATTTTCAGGGTTAACTACTTGTTGGAAATATGCCATTACAGAGGATGGTGTCATTTGAGGATGTGGCCATTGATTTCAGCTGGGAAGAGTGGGAGTACCTGGATGATGATCAGAAAACAATGTATAGAGATGTAATGCTGGAGACCTACAGCAACCTGGTGTCCTTGGGTGAGCAAAAGTCACATTAACTCACAGAGTCGAGTGCTTTATTTTAGTCAGTATTTGAATACTTGTTAGATTCAGTGCTCTTTAGGTGTGAGATTCTAGTCCATTGGGAGTGTCACCTCTTTCTAAGAAGAACTTCACATTGGCTGTTTGCTTCCTGAAGCTGTTTTATTGTCATCCTTTAAGGAGTTGAGTTAGTGGTCTGGCAAAAGTTCTATGTTACATTCCATTAACAGGGTACTACTGCCTAAAGCTGAAGCCATTATAGGTGAATATGCAATCTAGAATACAGTGTACCTCACTATTGGAGATGTAGTCTTGAAATCAGTAAAGGTGGTACTAGAAAATCCAAAGCTGGTATTTACAGGAAAGGTTAACCACAGAGCTGGTGAGAAATGAGAAAATAGATTTAGGAGAAGCCATGTATTCCAGGATGTCAGCGATCCTCATACCAAAGATGACCCACTGTGTACAAAACTTCTACACTATTTCTTGTTAATAGGGCACTATGTTCCTAAATCTAAAGTGATTGTCAAGCTGGAGCAAGGTGCAGAGCCATGGATGAGAGAAGCCTCGGACAAAAAATTAACAGGTGCGTCTATGCTTTTTTGGCAGTGATGTTTTAAAGAGCAGAGCACAGTTGGTGTGGCTATGATAAGCAATAATGTTCCCAGCTCCTTGTGCCCTTGGTGTGGCAGAGATGTAGGTGGTCCTTGGTCCATGGGAATCAAGATGTAGAGGCATGCTGATTTCTGTGTGGGAGGAAATTTAAAATTGGCAGTTCTCCTTTTTCTTTGTGGAAATCATTTTATTTTATTTATTTATTTTTATTGTGAAAATACTGTACAGAGGAGTTACAATTACATGGGCAAGATAATGAGTACATTTCTTATCAAGCATTGTAACCTCCTCCTTTGTTTCCTCTTCCCATCCCTTCCCATCCTCCCCTGCTCCCTGGAAATCATTTTAAAGCAAAAAAGAAAACAAGAAATGTATGGAATATCTCATTTTTTTATGGAACGGAACCCTGCACATACCAGGAACTAAGGAGGACCCTAGGGTTGCTGTCCTCAAAAAGCAAAAAGAGGCTTCTCAATAGTGGTGGGCAGTGCCTGGGATTTATATCCAAAGTCTTAGTTTAGGAAGGATGGTGACCAGGAAGGTGGACTGGTGTCTCTTGTCTTCTATTGTTCTGAGGGGCAGGGGATTCAGAAAAGGAATTTTAGATGACACTTTGCCTAAAAAGGAGAAGAATGCACTGATGCCTATTTTTAATTATATCTACAGCAGTTTTAGTGAGAAGTTAGAGCTGAACAAATGCAGGTATAAATTCTCACCTTCAGGAGCCACTCCTGCTTAGGTAAAAAGCAAAGAGACCTATTGTAAGGAAACTGAGTCATGAGGGTATCAGAGTAAACAAAGGGCAGAAAGCAAACTCAGTACACTTTATTCAGGAGTGAAGTTTGGGAAGGGTGATCACATCTCCTTTAGCATAGCTGAGGGGGAAATCGCTCACCCCTCTTACAACTAGGACTCTTTAGATATTAAGCAGAAAGAGTGAAGTTGGGGGGGGCAGTCAGAAGTGGGGTGAGATGGAGGGGGGTGTGGATGAGCAGTGTTATTTTGGCTCAGGACTTTCAAAGTCTCAATAGCATCTGAATTAAGTCAGGGGTTTCAACATCAGATGTGGCCTTGGTCTCAAGCTCTCTTCCAAGACTGTTGGTGCATTTGTTCACGGACAGCAAAAGACAGTTCTAAGATATAGTTAAGATATAGTTATCAGGGGGTATGGTGAGTGCTTTAGGTCAAGTTACTTTCCATCATCCCTGACTCTGGAAAAGCATAAGAAACAAGGTGGAGAAAGGGGTCCTGTCTTGTCTGGCTACTTTCTGCTGATGTGAGGTGGTGAGGGAAGTAGGAGTCTTATGCTTTCAGAGTCAGGTCTCATTGAGCAGAAAAGATGGCTTTGACATGCTCCTAGGTTGCTGCCTGAAATATATCTGTTATGCTATGGGTCTGGAACTTTTATGTGGATTTTACTTGAATGCTATAGAGGATTAAACCTGCAATGACAAAAGACTTACGAGTAGTTATCTCAGAAGTTTGAAATAACAACTTTTTAAACAATGTAATTATTTTTATTGCAAACTGATTAAGATTGTCTCCTTTGTATATACCACTAGATATTTTGGTTACAATGAGGAACATATGGATCCAGGCTTGCTTGGTGTTTTTTCCCAGCTTTGTATCCAAGGCAGTTTATATACTTGGAGAACAGAGATATTAGTAACAATCCTTTCACACCAGTGTATTAATTTTGATCTTAGGAAAAATCTTAGATCAGTTTTTAAATTATAGGCAATGACATGTCAATTTTGCCATTTCATATGCTCTGTCTTATGAAACTCAACACGTATACCATCTGCTACTTACTTGAACATTCTGTGGTTTATCTTCATTTTTCCCTTTTGGAACAAACATTTAAGACAATTCTTTCTTCCCAAATTCTTTCTTATCTAAAGGAAATCATTTTTCTAGTTCCTCAATTCCCTTTCCAAAGTCTTTCTTCATACTGTTTTATAAGCTCTGTTTTATAAAACTCAAGACATACATCTTTTCATTTTCACTTCCTTATCTCATTACTGATTTTTCCTTTAATTTGTATTTGAAAACCTTTCAGAAAACTTAACTGAAAAACATAGTTTTAGAAAATACTCTGTATTTATGGCACCAACAAGCAGAATTTCCACTTTTAAACATATACAGGAACAGAATAAAACAACTTAGTTATTAGCAAGAGTTTCTGGCTAATACAGCAACTCAGTACAGCCAGTGATAAATCTCATGGTTGTCAGCGACCTTGAGTCAAGTTTGTGATAAACTGCAAAGCTGCCAGCTTTGTAGACTTCAGTGAAGGAGAGATTTTTGCTTTTTACTTGAAGTGAGACACTGAGGCTAATGGAGAAATGGAGGTTGTTAGCAAATTAAGATTAATTAGACTTTGCCAGAGAACCACGCAGACATCCAGGTACAGAGAACAAAGAAAGGTTTATTGCCGGGAAAGGGGGCCGGCAAGACTCCTTCTCACAAGGGAGGAATGAGAAGAAGCACCAGCTATTGTTTGGGGTGACCTATATAACCTAGGAGGCTTAGAAGGGGCTAGAAGGCCGAGACCCTGGGGTGGATGTGTGGGCCAGGGGCTTCATCATGGTGGACTAGGATTTATGGCTCCCATCCAAGTAGTAGATAAGGGTCCTGCAGCTGCCCAGTCCTGAAGGTCACTCTAAAGGACTCTTGTTGCCATATATGGTGGTAGCTTCCCCAGAGAAGTGCCAAGGTAAAAGGGGCCGAAGTTGATTATTTACTGCCTTTAGTACATGGGCCTAGTGTTGCCTAGGAAGGGAGCATGCATGTGGAAAAGAGAAGGAATGGACTAAGCTATGGGAAGGGATTCATTTCACTAACAGGTAAATTCTAGAAATCTGTAAATTTGACCTTTCAGTAGAAGAGAGACTAGCCCCAGAGTGGACTAGAAAGGATATTTGTTGTCAGTCACTGTCCAAGTGATCCTAGGTTCCTTACTTAGATACACTACTGGTGAAGACCTTGGTGGGGTCAAAGACTCCAGACTGCTCTATTCTAGTAGATGAGGGCAGGGTAAATCTGGATATGGCTGTACTAGGAACAAGGGCTTCACTCCCAGGGGCAGTTAATTTTCCAGTGTCCCTGGCATCACAAAATGGGCAAGGCTGAGAGAAGGGCCATGGGCTTGGGCAAACTCTTGTCCAATGTCGCTCTTTGCTACAATGGAAATAGGTAAAAAGAAGAGCAGAAAGGCCCAAGACCTTGTTTGGGAGTGGTCTGGCATAGCATAGTCTATTTTGGGACTGCATGCCGGTAACTAAAAGTTGGCATTTAACTTTAAGGAGTCTCTCTTGTTCTTTATTTTTGCTTCTTCATTCTGATTATTAAAGATGGTGAAGGCCACATTAAATAACTCCTGTTGTGGTGTTTGGGGGCCATTTTCTAACTGTTGAAGGTTTTTTTTTTTTTGCAGATGTCTGGAGTGGATTGGTGATAAATTTAATGGGAAGAAAAAAATTATCCCTTCAGGGAGGTGGGAGCAGGGGGGAGAGTAGGGAGAAAAGGAAGGCTATCAGCAAAGAGAATCTGGAATGCTAAAGCTAGGTAAACAGAGGAAGTTTACTTAGAATGGACAGTTTCAGCTGAAAGACTAAGGACTGCTAAACTAGAAGAATGTAGTCAGGAATGAAGATGGAAAAAGCCTGAGGCATAGGGAACTTAATGTTTTGTTCTGTCTTGAGGCATAGTTTATCCAACTGGTCTTGGGGCCAAATGAGGGCAGAGAGGCTGTAATTATTTTCAAGGCTTTTAGATTTTTGATGAGCCAGCTCAGGGGAGAATCCAAAGAGCCAAACTGTTCTTTAGAGTGTGACCCAATCATAGGATTCAGTTAAGACAAAAGCCAGAATCCTTTGGCAACAAAGGGACATCTCCATTTTATTTCCAAAGGGGACCTTCCACAGGCCCAGACCATCCCTCAGCCAAGGGCATTATCATATCAACCTCAAGACAGTGGATGGGGTACTCCAGGGTGCTCAACTGGGACAACTGGGAACTCTTACCTATTCTAATGAGGGTGAGATGGTCAGTGGAACTCTTACCTACTCTAATGAGGGTGAGATGGTCAGTGGTGTGTGCAAGAGACAAAATAGTGAGAAGCTTTTACTTGGAATTCGTGATGGGAAGGTCAAGTAGTAGAAGGAAGAGTAGAACAATGGTCTTAATGGAGAATAGTTTCTGATCTAGAGGTCTGGAGAAGAGTTTAGTCAGAGTGGGGGAAGAGAAAGAGAAGTTCCCAGTGGTCTTACAACTGCATTTACCAGTCAGGTCCATCTAGGTCTAGGTCTAGACCTATATGGAAAAAAAAAGATTAAAGAATCAAAGAAAAAAACATGTTTGAAGACAGCCTCCCTTATATGGCAGTGAGGCAGTAAGAGCCTAGGGCCCTGGGTCATCATGTCCTAGCCACCATTTAGCCAAAGTAAACATGAGGACTGACTGGCTTTCAGAAAGCCACTGGGGAGGAAGGAAAAAAAAAAGAGCATACAAAGAATGACAGAGGAGGTAGACAGAGTCCTCTATGGGACAGGAGTCCTCTGGGGAACTCCATCCTGGGTTTCAGTACCATTTGTAAGGAAAATGAGTCATGAAAGTATTAGAATAAAGAAAGGGCAGAAAGTTAGCTCAACAGATAATATTTGGGAGTGAAGCCTGGGAAGGGAGACCAAGTCTCCTTCAGCATAGTTGAAAGGGAAATGGTGCAACCATCTTACGCCTAGATCTCTAAATATTAGGTAGAAAGAGTGAAGTTGCGGTGGGGCAGTTGGAAGTAGGGAGAGATGGAGGTGGGGTTGGTGAGCAATGTAATGTTGACAAGAATTTCAGGGTCTCAACAACATCTGTGTTAAGCCAGAGGTGCCAACATCAGATGTGGCTTTGGTCTCAGACTTGCTTCCAAGACTGCTGGTGCATATGTTTAGGGTACAGGGAAGGGAGATGATTCAGCAGAGTTGGCAGTACGGACAGTTCTAAAATATGGTTGTCAGGGGTATGTGAATGCCTTAGGTTAAGTCACTTTCCATCAACTTAAATCCTCTTATAGTCTATGGTATTGGACAATATTTCTGTCTTCTGACCTAATGGTTGAAAAGCAGCACAAAATATAAATTATTTCAAGAATACAAACCAATTGTCCCCCCGTTAAAACACAACAAAATGAAAACAGAACACCAAAGGAATAGTAATGACATATGGTAAGTACTCAGGTTAAAACTTTAGGCAGTATGAGTTGAGCATTTTGACTAAATGCTTTCTCTGACATTAAAAGAGGGAAAAAAAGATTAAAGAATCACAGAAAAAAACATGTTTGAATTGTAAAAATATCAGTATTAATTTCTTAACTCATTAGGGAAAAAAACATTCTCATAAATCAATTCTTAGTATTGATACTTTAAAATCTTTAGCAGTTAGGATGGAAGGAAATTTCTTTACCCAGAAATGCTTAGATCTCATTCATGTTTTTTTCTTCTTTTCTGTGAATCATTTTAGATGTCCAGGAAATGGATGATGTGATTGTGACATGCCAGGAAAGTCCAGATGAACATCTATGGGAAGTCGCTGTCCCCAATAGCAACACAGTGGAGGAAAGTATTAGATTAGGAAGGACTTTTAATTTGAGGTCAAACTCTATGTCAGAGCTCATTAGGAATAATGGGAACTACTTAGGGATGAGGACTGAGGAGTTCACTGTGTGTCAGAACATACTTCTCCATAGTAAGTCTGCTGAAGCCAGGCCTCATGTCTCTTGTATAGTTGAAAAATCCCTCAGACATTTGAAGCATTTTAGTCAACATTATGAGAGTCCAAATGAGCAGAAGTATTTTGAATATGGTGGAGAAGGGAAGGCATTAACCTCAGAGACCACATTCTTTACACAAAATTGTTTTTTTGTGGGTGATCTCTCCTATAAGCATGATAAATATAGGAAAGACTATGAAAAATCTGCTCTCATTGGCCAGGGAATACCTCATATAGGGAGGGAAACACCTGAATGTACTATATGTGGGAAAACATTCTACATAAGTCCTACACTCACTGCACATCAGAAAATACTCACAGGAGAGAATCCCTGCATATGTAGTGAATGTGAGAAATCCTTCAGTGAGGAAATATACCTTTCAAAATATCAAAGCAAATATCCAGAGAAGTCCTTTAAGTATACCAAATATGCAGAATCTATCTTTCAGAAGTCAGACTTGACTTTACAGCCTCAAACTTACAGAGAAGAGAAACGCTGTGAATGTGATGAATGTAAGAAATCTTTTACCCAGATTTCTGCTCTCAGCTGGCATCAGAGAACTCTCACAGAGGAGAAAACTTATGCATGTAACAAATGTGGAACATCTTTCACCCAGAAGCTAGACCTTAGTGTTCATCAGGGAATACACACAGGAGAGAAACCTCATGAATATAACAAATGTGGGAATCATTTCAAACAAATGTCAAGTCTCAATGAATATCAGAAATCTTACCTAGGTAGGAACCGTTATGTTTGCAACATATGCAAAAAGTTTTTTAGGCGGATGTCCTATCTCAGATTGCATCAAAGAAGACACACAGGAGAGAGGCCTTATGTATGTAACACATGCGGAAAGGCTTTCACGCGTCGGACAAGTCTCTCTTTACATCAGAGAAGACACACAGGAGAGAAGCCTTATGAATGTAACACGTGTGGAAAGGCTTTCATGCAAGAATCAATCCTCAATGCTCATCAGAGAATACACACAGGAGAGAAACCTTACGCATGTAACACATGTGGAAAGGCTTTCACACGAAAGTCACAACTCAGTGTGCATCAAGCAACACACACAGGAGAGAAACCATATGAATGTAAAAAATGTGGAAGGTCTTTTATGCAAAACTGTGTCCTCAGAGTGCATCAGAGAACACACACAGGAGAGAAGCCTTATGAATGTAACACCTGTGGAAAGGCTTTCATGCAGCGGAAAAGTCTCTGTTTGCATCAAAAAAGACACACAGGAGAGAAGCCTTATGAATGTAACACCTGTGGAAAGACTTTCACGCAGCGGACAAGTCTCTGTTTGCATCAAAAAAGACACACAGGAGAGAAGCCTTATGAATGTAACACCTGTGGAAAGGCTTTCGTGCTGAAATCAATCCTCAATACTCATCAGAGAACACACACAGGAGAGGAACCTTATGAATGTAAAAAATGCGGAAAGTCTTTTAAGTGGAGCTCATGTCTCAGAACTCATCAAAGAATACACACAGGAGAGAGACCTTACGAATGTAACAAATGTGGAAAGACCTTCAAGCGAAAGTCACATCTCAATGTGCATCAAAGGATACACACAGGAGAGAAACCTTATGAATGTAACACATGTGGAAAGGCTTTTAAGCAAAAATCACATCTCAGTGTGCACCAAACAACACACACAGGAAAGAAACCTTATGAATGTAACACATGTGGAAAGGCATTCACGCGAAAGTCTTATCTCAGCAAGCATCAAAGAACACACTCAGGAGAGAAAGTTTATGAATGTAACACTTGTGGAAAGGCTTTCAAGCAAAAATCACATCTCAGTGTGCACCAAACAACACATACGGGAAAGAAACCTTATGAATGTAACACATGTGGAAAGGCATTCGAGCAAAAGTCGTATCTCAGCAAGCATCAGAGAACACACTCAGGAGAGAAAGTTTATGAATGTAACACATGTGGAAAGGCTTTCAAGCAAAAATCACATCTCAATGTGCACCAAACAACACACACAGGAAAGAAACCTTATGAATGTAATACATGTGGAAAGGCTTTCAAGCGAAAGTCATATCTCAGGAAGCATCAGAGAACACACACACACGAGAGAAACCTTATGAATGTAATATGTGAAAAGGCTTCCAAACAAAAGTCATGTCTCAGTGTGCATCAGAGAAGACACAGGAGTGAAATCTTATGACTTTAACAAATGTGGAAAGGCATTTAACCAGAAATTAAATCTAAATATGTATCATACATGCACAAACACGTGTAACAAATGTGGCCTTTTAATCATTGAATCAGTCCTCAGTATGCATTAGAGAATGCAAGCAGGAGAGAAACCCTATGCATGTAATAAATGTAGGAAACAGCCAGAAGTCATACCTCTACAGTTATCAGAACTTGACTCATGCCAGAGACTCTGGAAGGTGAACAATATAGAACATCATTCGACCAGAACTCAACCTTCAGTACACTTTAAGAGTACTTATGGAGAGAAACTCTACATAGAAAAATCTTTTTTTTTTTTTTTGGTCCGGTCGTGGGGCCTGAACTCTGGGCCTGGGCGCTGTCCCTCAGCTCTTCAGCTCAAGGCTAGGGCTCTACCACTTGAGCCACAGCGCCACTTCCGGCTTTTTTCTTTTTGCTTATGTGGTGCTGAGGAATTGAACCCAGGGCATGCAAGACAAACGCTCTACCACTGAGCCACCTTCCCAGCCCCTAGGAAAATCTTTTGTTACAATCTCTGAAATTATACACAGAAATCCCACAGGGCAGAGATGAACTAGGTATAATCTACAACCATTCTTTTCTATTAGACATTCTCTGAACCAACATTTCTCAGACTGTCATCTTGGATGAAATAAACATTATCCAAAGGATTTGGACACAATGATGGACATTGCTTCCAGGCTTGACAACATATGACCATCTCATCTGAATAGGAGAGAGTGAAGTTATGTATTTCTGACTTTTACAGTACTCAACTGTCAACATAATTGTGTAGTGTCTCAGAAATAATCCCCAAGACTGAGGAGCAATCGGTGGGAAAGACTAATAATTTGAACCAAAGAAATAAGGGCATTGATTTCTCCACTGATAACTTAAAGCTTTCCATTGTATGCATGGTCTATGTATTATAACACAAACAACTTAATATTTACAGTTCAATTTTTGAATGCGCAGGATCTGATGGAAGATACCACTTTATTACAAAATGTACACACGAGTAAAATCTGGGTTATCTCTTCTTGTTCACAGGTCATGGAACATTCAGAGAGCACAGTGGAACACATTTTGGAAGTACTTTGTGTGTATGTGTTGTGTGTGTACATATTTTTGTGTAAAAGTCCTGGTTTTCAAACTATGAGCCTGGGCACTGTCCTTGAGCTTTTGTGCTCATAACTAGTGCTCTATTAATTTTAGGCTCCACTTCTGACTTTTTGGTGATTAATTGAAGATAAGAATCTCAAAGACTTTTCTGCCCTGGCAGGCTTCAAACTGTATTTCTTAGATTCAGCCTTGTAATTAGCTAGAATTAACAAGCATGATGCACTGGTACCTAAAAATTGAAGCAGATATAAGGAAATGGAAAAACCCTCTATGCTCCTGGATAGGAAGGATAAACATCATTTTAATGCCCAAAGCAATTTACATATTCAATGTAATACCCACCAAAATCCCAACAACATTCTTCAAAGAGATAGAGAAAGCAATTCAGAAATTCATATGGAATAATAAAAGATCCCGAATAGCAAAAACAGACCTTAGCAGGAAGAACAGTGTTGGATGAATATCAATACCAAACTTCAAACTCTATTATAAAGACATAGAAAAACAGCTTGAACTGGGAGAGAGACGAGGTGACATGTTCTAAAAAGAAAGGTACTCATTAACTGACTTATGTAACTGTAACCCTCTGTACATAATCTGTACAATAAAATAAGGTGTGTGTGTGTGTGTGTGTGTGTGTGTGTGTGTGTGTGTGTGTGTATATATATATATATATATATATATATATATATATAGGTCTATCTATCGTGGGGCTTGAACTCTGGGTTTGGGCACTGTCCCTGCCCTCTTCAGCTCAAGGCGAGCACTCTACTGCTGGAGCCACAGCACCACTTCCAGTTTTCTAGTGGTTTATTGGAGATAAGAGTCTCACAGACTTTCCAGCCTGGGCTGGGCTTGAACCGCTATCCTCAGATCTCAGCCTCCTGAGTAGCTAGAATTATAGGCGTTAGCTGCCAGTGCCCGGCTAAAATAGTTTATATATATATATATATATATATATATATAAAATTTTTTTTGGGGGTCCGGTTGTGGGGCCTGAACTCTGAGCCTGGGCGCTGTCTCTCAGCTCTTCAGCTCAAGGCTTGCGCTCTACCACTTGAGCCACAGCACCACTTCCTGCTTTTTTTTCTTTTTTGCTTATGTGGTGCTGGAAAATCAAACCCAGTGCCTCAGGCATGCAAGGCAAGCGCTCTATCACTGAGCCACTTTCCCAGCCCTATATATATATATATATATATATATATATATATATATATATTTTTTTTTTTTTTTTTTTTTTTTTGTTGGTCGTGGGGCTTGAACTCTGGGCCTGGGCGCTGTCCCTCAGCTTTTCAGCTCAAGGCGAGCGCTCTACCACTTGAGCTACAGTGCCACTTCCGGTTTTCTGGTGGTTTATTGGAGATAGGAGTCTTACGGTCTCTCCTGCCCGGGCTGGCTTTGAACCGCGATCCTCAGATCTCAGCCTCCTGAGTAGCTAGGATTACAGGCGTGAGCCACCAGCGCCCGGCTTTAAATATTTAAAAACAGCTTGATAATGACATAAAAATAAGCCTGAGGTCCAATAGAACAAAAGACCCAGAAATGAACACACAGACTTTGAGCCACCTAATACTTGATAAGGAAGCCAAAAACACATGTTGGAAGAAAGCCTCTTCACCAAATGGTGCTGGCAGAACTAACTATACATATACATTCAGAAAAGTGAAGTTAGATTATTATATATCACCCTGCACAAGAATCAATTCAAAGTGGATCATAGCTCTCAGTATAAGGTCAAATGCCATGAAAATATTACAGGAAAGCATAGGGTAAGCACTAATTATGAAAAACTTCCTAAGTAAAGATCCAAAATATCAACAAACCAAAGAAGGAGCAGAAAAAATGGATTGCATTAAACTGAAGAGTTTCTGAGTGGTAAAGCTAGCAAGATAGGTAGCAAGATAAATAGAAATCCACAGAATGGGAGAGGATTTTGACCAGCTATGAATCAGACAAGGCCTCATATCTAAAATATGCTTAAAAAAAAAAAAATTCCCTCGTGGCTCAGTGGTAGAGCGCTTGCCTTGCATGCCTGAGGCCCTGGGTTCGACTCCTCAGCACCACATAAGCAAAAAGAAAAAAGCCGGAAGTGGCGCTGTGGCCCAATGGTAGAGTGCTAGCCTTGAGCTGAAGAGCTGAGGGACAGCGCCCAGGCCCAGAGTTCAAGTCCTATGACCGGACCCCCCCCAAAAAATAAAAAACCTTCCCTTAATAAACCCCCAAAGAAACAATGACCCAATTAATAAATGGGCTAAAGACTTAGAGACTTATCAGATTCCAACTCATCCCAATTAGAAGGGCCAAGAAAACTAACAACATGCTGGTGAGAATGTGGCCAAAAGGGAACTTTATTACATTGTTGGTGGGAATGTGAGCTTGTTCAACTACTCTGGAAAGCAGTATGGGGATTCTTCAAAAGACTAAATATAGATCTTCCCTATGACCCAGCAATTCCACTCCTGTGCATTTATCCAATTGACCACAAACGGCTTCCACACCAAAGCCACCAGCACAACCATGTTCACTGTGGTATTTATCATAGCCAGGTTATGGAATCAACCCAGATGCCCCTCAGTGGATGAGTGGAACAAGAAAATGTGGTATATATACACAATGGAATTCTATGATTCCATTAGGAAGAATGATTTTGTACCATTTGTGAGGAAATGGAGAGACTTGGAAAAAATTACATTAAAGTAAGCTAGACCCAAAGAAATGTAGGTTGTACTGTTTCTCTCATTTGTGGTAACTGGAATGTGCCTATAAGTCTACTAAACAGACTGGATTGTTAAAGAGAAAAAAATACACTGGAACATGCCAAATTAAACTGGACTCTCGACATTCACACAACAAGACCAAAGGAGGATATTCTATGGAAAGGATCACAAAGGCTCAAGTTATTTGCATATGATTGTTATAAAATGATGCTTATCAAAATGAACTCCAAGAAATGGAAATGAGGGTTTTTTTCCCCTTTGTTGCTGTTTTTGATTTACCTTTTGTCTCGTTAATCTGTTTGGGGAATGGATGAGGGGGGCACAGAAAGGGTGAGATAAAGGGTGAACAAATGAAACTGGTATTCATTAGATACTATGTTGAAAATGAATTGTACAACTTGTGGGTGGGTATGGGGGAAAAACTGGGAAAGAAAGGGAAGAAGTGACACAGTCCAAAAAGCAATGTACTCATTACCTGATTTATGTAACCCTTCTGTACATCACATTTACAATAACAATTAAAGAAGTATATATATACATATATATGAATATATGTTCAGTGTATGTTTACTCACTTCAGATACATATATAAGTAAAACAAAAAAATGGTGAAATAAGGATATTTTAAACCAAACTTTTGTTCCATTTGCAGTACTACCAGGTAAATGATTCTATCAATATGTAGTGATAACTTCTCTCCTTAAAAAAAAGGCCTATATATATTCTTGAGAATCCCTGTCTTATTCGAATTGTTCTTGTCTTTGATGGTCTAGGAGGCCTCCTTGGCCAGGACTTTCCCTAGGTTTTGGAAAGACTGAGGACAAAGTAGCCAATGTTCCAAACCAGCTACCTGCTTGCTATGGATACCATCATTCCTATAATTGTTGAATTCTTTACAAGATGGCAATGAGGTAATGCCATCTGATCTGAAAGGATGGAGATAGATTACTTCTTTATTAAGTCAGACTTTTAGATTCTAGCAAATGTTTTATTACCCAACAGTTTAACAAATATAGCACTTCTTGGATGAAAATATAGAAGATACCCAACTATCCCACTTTTGGGCATTTACCCAAATGATCACAAACAAGGGTATACTAAAGCACAACTATGTTTTTTTTTTTTTGGGGGGGGGGTCCGGTCGTGGGGCCTGAACTCTGGGCCTGGGCGCTGTCCCTCAGCTCTTCAGCTCAAGGCTAGTGCTCTACCACTTGAGCCACAGCGCCACTTCCGGCTTTTTTCTTTTTGCTTATGTGGTGCTGAGGAATCGAACCCAGGGCCTCTGGCATGCAAGGCAAGTGCTCTACCACTGAGCCACCTTCCCAGCCCCACAACTATGTTTATCACAGCACTATTTACCATAGCTAAGATATGGAACAAATCCAGATGCCCCTCAGTAGATGAATGGATCAAGAAAATGTGATATATATGCATATATGTCTATAATGGAATTCTATGCCTCCATCAGAAAGAATAACACCTCCCCATTTGTTAGGAAATGGAAAGACTTGGAAAAAACTATATTAAGTAAAGTAAGGCAGGCCCAAAGAAACATAGGTCCCAAAGTTGCCTTCATTTGCAATAACTAGTATATGTCTAGGACAAGCAGAAAAGGTCAAAAGCTATGTACATATGACCATATAAGATGATGTTGAGTGAAATGAACCCCAAGACAGGGACACAAGTGGTTTTTTCTTTCTTGCTATTGTTTTTACATACTTATAATGTACTATGTGATTTTGTTTTCTTTCTTTTGTATATTCTTTCTCCATGGTATAACCCGTTTTCACTGTATTTGATTCTGGTGCCCTCAATCTTGTTTATACACTTTTCTAATTTGGGGAGGGGAAGGGAAATAACAAAATGCTGAAATAAGGATACAGATTGACTCATTGTAACAATGATGTGTACATGACACTATGTTGAAAACGGACTTAACAACTTGGTGGGGGGGGGAGTTGGGGAGGTGGGGAGGGAAGGGATGGTAGGGGAAAAACAAAGGAAGAGGTAACAATGCTTGATAGGAAATGTACTCATTACCTTACTCATGTAACTGTAACCCCTCTGTACACTATTTTTAACAATAAAAACATAAAAATATAGAAGATACTCTTCATATAATAAGCTAAAAATTTGCATTCAGAATCTCTCCTACCAGTTGGGACTCAGACTTAAAACACTTAAAGCTGTCTAATGAAAATGTTTTGCAAGGGAGGTGTTTTTTGTAGATCTGAGTTGAAACCATTTGTATGTTAAAGGTTTGTTTCAAGTAGTGGTATCTCATAGTCATTTCGAAAGTCCTTTTCTCTATCACGTGTAAAAGATGTTAAAATATTTATTTCATGATCACTTTCCTTCATTAGGCAGAAAATTCTGTGATTTTTAATTATTGTAGAGGTTATGTATTTGATTATATGCTCTGGACCAAGGCAGGTGAAGTAACATCCATGAGCCCTGCTCTCATCACTGAGCAAGCAGTGCTAAGTGACCCTACCTCCCCAGGTATCTTTACCACCAACAGGAAAAGAACATAGTAGCCCAAGTCTGGAGTTGCTATTTTAAGTGTCAATGATTTTCAGTCAGTAGCACCATTTCATGTAACTGCTTTTTGTGATTTATATGTGCAAATCCTTTGTGTCCATTGGGGGGAACTTAATGGTTTGGTATCTCTAGAATTAGCCTTATTTGAGTAA